ATAATAACTTACAAAATGAGCTCAGTAGAATAGCGGGACTACTTAAAGGAAAGGAGAAGCTAGATATATATACAGACAGTTCTCTAGTAGTAGAAAATTCAGAAGGGAGAGAAATTAAAAAGATGGGTATCAGTTGGGTAGTAGCAGATGATAGCAGGACGGAATCTAGTATTAGCTTTAGTAGTAGCATAGCAGATTGGCCCTCGTCTACACATGCAGAGCTAGGTGCGATCTGGTCAGCGCTTTTAGTAGTACCCTTTGGAGCAACTGTTAGGATATTCTCAGACAGTAAAGTAATTAATTTTATAATAAGTAACATGATGAAGGTCCTTGTTATTATCTGAAAAGTGTTACAGATAATAACCACCTAATATAAAAATATTCACATCATAATAATATATTATAAACCGCAGTAATGTAGAGTTATATAGTATAGGTGGAAGAATTTGACAATTTTCTTGGGCCGAAGGATTTTTAATGCGAGCCGAAAAAAATCCTTAATGCTATAATTTAGGTCAGTGAAGATCATCTACAGGGCCAGGAAGAATCTGACGATTTTGGAAGATTTACTAGTTGATTCTACAGGACCGAAATTCTCTAACTCGGGCTGAATGATTTGTAATGCGAGCCATGAAGAATTTTTAATTTAGGCCAGGAAGATTTTGACGATTTTTGGAAGACTCACTAATTGATTCTACAGGGCCGGGAAGAATCTTAAAAATCTTAATTCCGGTCGAAATTTATCTTTAACTCAAGCCTGGAAGAATCTAAAGATTCGTAATTTAGGCTGGGGATAATATAAAAAAATATTGTGAAAGTAAAATCAATGTTTTGTGATAATTTTATTATAATAATCGACTTTGAGATCAAAAAATAACTCATTTTGTTCAAATTATTTAGTTCTATATTTTAAGAGAAGAGAAAATGATCATTCAGTTTAAAAATTTTCTCTCTATTAATTGTAAATTCTGACTGAATTGTAGTGCCTTGTTTAACAGTGAACTAATACCATCGGAAAAAGGTCTATTATACATGAATCAATACACTAAACAATTTAGTACTACGTGACATGTCAGAATTTTATTCTGATAAACTTTTGTTATGGAGACAAGGATTTGAGTGCAACAATTTCATGTTTACGCATATTTCAGGTAGTTTTCGGAAATCCTCAAGAGGAACCTGTAATCAATCGCATAAATCTATTTGATGAATCCTCATGAGGAAATCCTCAAATAGATTTACGTGATTGATCATCTGTTTCTATTTGAGGATAATCCTCAAAAGGAATAGTATATTTTTAATCCGATATTTTTTTTAATTTTAGAAAACTGATACGTAATGACTAACCTTTCGAGGATAATCCTCAAATGGTTAGATCACATAAACAATCAATGATCACAAATATCCTCATGAGGACTTTACGATCAGTTGATTGATATTATATGTATTTAATTTTTTATCTCACTATCGCTACGTATCAATTAATAAAGTTAACTTTTTTATTAATTTAATAATATTTCAAATTTTACAACACTTTTCGTTATTTAGTAGAGTTGAATCTTTTTTATTTTCAATAAGTCTTTTTTCTTGTTTTTTGACGCTTTTCATTTCTTCACAGGTTCAATAAGATTATACTTTTCTTTTTGTTCTTTTCGGTGTTTTTCAACAAGTCTTTTCATCGTTTATAGTGTTCGCTTCAGAGTTCACATTCTTTTTTCGTTGGTTTGTATCTTTGTTTGGTATTTTCTAGTATGTCTTTCTTGTTTAGAACATCTTTTTTCTTTCTTCTTATAGATAAATCGTTGGAGTGTAGAAATAGAGATTGGATTTCAGATTCTCTTCGTCGTTCTTTGGTGTTAGTTTTGGATCTTCGGTAAGTCTTTTGACATTGTTCTTGTTCTTTAGTTTGGTTTGTTTTTTTCGTTTTATGTTCTTTGGAATTTGTTGTTATAATCAACATTTGTTGTTGGTTTGCGAATCTTTGGTAATTTTTTACAATTTCAATAGGTCTTGTAAGTTTTTTTCTTTATTTATGTTTCTCTTTCTTTCTTTAGTCGTTCTCTAGTGCTTCTCCTTTATCTTCAAGGTTTTCAGATTCTTTTCGATGTTCCTTGGCGCTTTTTGTTTGGTGATGTTTTTCGCTGGTTTACAGATCTTAGGTAAGTTTACTTCTTTCTGATGTCCTTTTTCTTAGTCTTTGATTCTTTCTGGACTTTTGCTAGTTTCTTTCTTCGGAATTTTTAAAAAAAATTGTGATTGTTTTTTGTTGTCATTGTATATACTATGAATTTCATCAGCATTACTAATTTTTTTTTGTCTTTTCTATAGATCAAAACGTTTCTTCTTTCTTTCTAGAATTAGAATTTATTTGAAACGGAAGAATTTCTTGTTTGGATATTTAATATTTTTTTGTTTTGATTCTTATTTTCTTTTGTTATTGTTTTTTTACTAAAAATTTGTTTTTTCTTCTTTTATTTTTAGGGTGTTTAATTATGAATTTATGATGTTACTATGATGTTACGATGTTGTAATCAATTTCTGGGTTTAAATCTAGAATTGATGTAGTCATAATTACCCTAACTAAGGAATACGCCTCTTCGTGGCAGTTGGGACCATTAGGAGATTCGTTCTCCGAAGCCAAGTATTCCAGGGCATATTGCTACGAGATGATTCTGAATCTCGTGCGATATTGACCATATATAGCTGTAGACGGTCTGGTCGTTCCGATTTGATTGCGGGCGATCCTTGTGAAAGGTAACGGGGAGAGCACTACCCCGAGCCTGACCTGGGGTATAACCTACAACTTACCCTGTTGAGGCTATTGTTCAATTCGCATGAGTGAGGATCTCTTGGTACGAGTTGGTGCCTACGAATATGTCCCTCACCTTTAGAGTCTCGAGATATGTTGGCTTCTACGTAGCGAGACTTGGTAACTTTGTAATTTAAATTACAAAGGCTAACAACATATCAAATAAAATCTATTTTCTTATATTATTAATGGTTTATTTTTCGAATGTAAAACCGAGGCTATAATAAAAAAAAAATACAAAATAAAAATTTAATTTAGAAATATCTAAAGTAACTATAACTGTAATTAATTAATGTCAGTAGTAACTATTTTTTTCTTGATATTTAATATTTATTGACTTTGATTATTTATTTATCGAATGAAACAAAAAGATATTAGGTTCATCATATGATGTTACTACGTTTATTTATTATAAAAAATCTGCAGATATGAATAATTCTAACGGAATGTATCGAGTTAACTATTGCTATTAATTGAGAATTGGTGTTGAAATAGACAAGTATAAAACATTTATATATCATCAGAAATCAGCTGAGGCTGGTAATTCTAATGGAATTTTTAAAATGCCATTAGTTACAGATATGAAATTGGTGTGGAATACGATTGAGATAAATACTACGATTGGATAAAGAAGTAGGCTAGTTGTTATATTTAAATTATTTAACTTAAATTAGAAATTTAAATATTCTCAAAACTATTTAATCTTTTAGAAGTTTTATGATTAATTATCAAGTTACTTAAAATTTAGCAATTCATTAAATAATCTTTTTATTTTAGTTCGTGAGTATAAAGATTATTTATTAATCTATGTATTTAAAATCTGTAATCGGATTAGAAATTCTATTATACAACGTTCCTAAAAATAATATGATTAATAAAAATTCATGAATTGAACGTTTTAGAAAATAGTAACAATAAATTATTCGGAAATATTATATAAATTATTTATAAAAAAAATATTAAATTAATATTAAAATAACTTTTTATGAATATTTAAGTAATCGAGATGTGTAACAAATTCAAATAAAAATCGGATTTAAAATTTAATTATCATTGTATCTATATAAATCTAAATTACTGTATTATCAACTAATTCGGTCGATAAAATTATTCTAAAAATAGAAAAGTTTCAAGTTAAAGAATTAGATTCGAGAAATATTAAAATTATCGTTATACAATAAATTCGAGATGAAGATTTTAAATATATATAAATGATTACTCGTAAATTGATTTAATGAAGTTTTTAGAAAAATATATTATGAAAATTATTTTATTTTATTTAATATAATGAAGTAAATTAGTAAATTAATATCAATAATTTTTTTGATAAAAGGTTCGGTTGTTAACATCGAAAAATTAAAGTTTGGGATTCCTCATGAAGATTTCCTCTTGAGGATTTACCAAATTCCTTTTGAGGATTTCCTCATGAGGATTCATCAAATAGATTTATGCGATTGATTACAGGTTCCTCTTGAGGATTTTCTATACTAACAAAAAATTAATTAGATTCGGTAATATAATTAATAAATAAAGTTTTTTAAAGTCTCGTGAGTAAATAGTTTAAATATAAATTATAACATTATCTTCAAATTCTTTATAAAAATTAATATTTAAATTACGACTAAAAATTAAAAAAATGTCAAAAATAAACTTTATTAATTTACCTCCTGAAATATTCCTTATCATCATAGAAAATATAAACTTTGAATTTTATAC